TCCTAGGAAACAACGATAGGCCTGTTCAGCCGGAGACCTGCTGATGGAGAGAGCTTGTCTCCCTCGTGGACTCGTGACGGGGAGAACTGTGAGTGTTCTGGGTACCAAGGAGCCCGAGTTCAGAATCTTCTGGAGTTAGAGTTACCTGTGACTGTAAGCCACTCACTGAGTGCTCTGGGAACTGAACTCAGGTCCTCTGGAGGGGCAGGAGCTGTTAACAACTGAGCCAACTCTCCACCCCACGGAGGCTTTCTTTTTTTATTCTTCTTTTGGTCTCTGTCCATCTCTGTCTCTCTGTCTCTGTCTCTCTGTCTCTCTGTCTCTCTGTGTCTTAGTTAGGGTTTTACTGCTATGAACAGATACCATGACCAAGACAACTCTTATAAGGACAACATTTAATTGGGGCTGGCTTACAGGTTCAGAGGTTCAGTCCATGATCATCAAGGCGGGAGCATGGCAGAATCCAGGCAGGCATGGTGCAGGAGGAGCTGAGAGTTCTACATCTTCATCTGAAGGCTGCTAGCAGAAGACTGACTTCCAGGCAGCTAGGATGAGGGTCTTAAAGCCCATGCTCACCGTGACACACCTACTCCAACAGGGGCACACCTCCAACAGGACCACACCCACTCCAACACGATCAAACCTTCTAACAGTGCCTCTCCCCGAGCCAAGCATATTCAAACCACCACAGTGTATGTGTGTGGATGTGGATGTGTGCACACACACTCACATATATGAACGTAGGTCAGTGATTGACATTAGGATTTTGTTTAGTCAATGTCTGCCTTATATTTTGAGAAAAATAGCTGAACCTGGAGTTCACCGATGGGCTTTGATCTGCCTACCACCTGTGTCTGCCTGTCCCCACCTCACAGGGCTGTGATTAAGGACAGGTGTGTGGCATTTTAAACCAGTTTTGGGCATCTAAAGTCTGGTCTTTGTGTGACAAAGCACCTCATTCACCAAGCTGCTTCCTCAGTCCCGTGTTCTGTGTTTTGAAATAGAGTATTTCTATGTGGTCCAGGCTGGCCTCACATGCACCGTGAATTCCAGGCTGCTCTCAACCCTGCAGTCCCATCCTCCTGCCTCACATCCCTAGAGCTAGATTTACAGGTGTGGGCCGCATGTCTGTGGTTGTAATCCATACTCTCCCGCAGTCATTGGTGGAAACAGTGTGTGAGTGTATGTCTGTGAATGTTTGTATGGTGTTTGTGTGTGCATGTGTGTGTGGTGTGTGTGTGCTCTCTGTGATGAGTGTGTATATGGTGTGTATGTTGTGGGAATGAGTATGTGTATGTACGTGTGTGTGTGAATATGTTTATGGTGTATGGTGTGTATGTGTGTGTGTGTGTGCCGTATGTGTGATGTGTGTGTATATTGTGTGTAAGAGAGAATTTGTGCATGTGTGTGGCGTGTGATGTGAGTGTGTATGTGGTTGGGGGCCATATCTATTGATTTTAAACGCTTCCAATCTGAGTAGGTTTCAATCTGTGATGATCTTTTCATTCTGCAGCTCTTCCTCGGGGACTCAACACCCAGGAATTGTGTGTGCATTCCTGGCAACCTCAGCAAGCTCAGAACAAGAAAGAAAAGCAGCTAGTTCTCTCCTTAGCTCATTTCCTCAGAGGCTGTTATTAGAATATACTCTGGTGGGCCAGAAGTAGGTTCTCACATTTACCAATATCTCTCTCTCTCTCTCTCTCTCTCTCTCTCTCTCTCTCTCTCTCTCTCTCTCTCTCTCTCTCTCTGTGTGTGTGTGTGTGTGCCAAGGAGCACATGTACAGATCAGAGAGCAGTTTGCTGGAGACAGTCACCCACTTCCACCACGCAGCTCTCGTGGATGGAGCTTTACCCTCAGAGACTCCGTGCCATCCGGAGAGCCGTGCCCTGAATGTGCCAGTCTCAGCCACATCTCCCCTAATGATGCAACATGGGGTGGGGGGAGAGAGAGGATGAGCATGCTGGGAACTCTAGAGTTCTGGCAATTCTCAGAAGCAGCTTGCGCTCTGAGCGCTTCGGTCCTCTGGGGGTGGAGGGGGCTGGGCTGGGCTGGTTTGCCAGCGAGTCCTGCCCACCCAGCACACACGTAGGTGATGATTTGTTTTCTGCATCTTTCTAGAGACTGCAGGCTGGCGAGGATGCTGTCTAGTGACAGGAGTCTGAGGCTCAGCTATGACAACTGTGTCAGTGTCATCCATACCCTCTTTTTTTGGTGAACAATGAAAAACTATATCACGTTGAAAGACTCCAGTTATGAGAGAGGGGTGGGAGCCAGCAGAGGACAGCCGGAGTGGACTGCTGACTACTGTCCAGAAGCGATATCTGGGAATGGGGTCAGCTGATCTACATGGTGAGGGGCTTCAGAAACATGGACATGCTTTGGACATGCTGTTCCCTCTGTTAGAGAAGCAATCGCCTGTGTTTATAAACGGACATCACTGTTGCCATTTTTGGTTCCTAGAAATGCCCTAGAGAGAAGTTATTTTTGGTAAGGGGGGTCTTCCTGCTTCAGTGTGTAACTGTGAGTGGCTGGTTTAGAATCTTCCCCAGCATAGGCCAAGGGAGAGTAAAACAGAAGGTGATCTTGGCAGAGGATCTGCTAGGTGTCAGGCAAGGTGCTTGCCTGTGTGTGTGGGTCCATTGTGTGCCAACCTGTGTGCATGTGTCTGTACATTATGTGTGTGCCTGTGTGTGCGCGTTGCATGTGTGCATTGTGTATGTATGTGTGTATGCATTGTGTGAGTTCCTCTGCGTGCATGTATATGTGCATATGTGTGCATTGTGTGGGTGCCTTGTGTGCACGTGTGTATGCGTGTGCACGTGTGTGTGCATGGGCAGGCCATATGACAAACTTGGTTGTTGTTCTCCATTTGGCCTTTAAAAAAATTACATTTATTTATTGTGTGAGTACACACACACACACACACACACACACACAAAGAGGTCAGGGGCACCTTCCAGGTGTTAGCTCTCTTCTGCCACCAAGGGGGCTCTCAGGGGCTGAACTCCATGCTTACGTCAAGCACCCTTACTTGGTAAGCAAGCTACTTTGTCTGCCTCTCATCTTGTTTTCTGACATTAGGTTTCTTGATGCGCTGGGACCCATGAGTTCAGCTAGGCTGGCCAGCTGCGGAGCCCTGGGGCTCTCCCTGTCTCGTCTTTCTGGTGCTGGGATTCCAAGCATGCGCCCCCACACACTCTATGTGGGTTCTGGCGGTTGAACTCAGTTCCTCATTTTTGTGTGGCCGGCACATCTCAGCCCAAGGTACATACATCTCTAGATGCTGCCCTCCCCCTCTGTTTACTCAAAAGAACTGGTCTCATTACTCAAGAGGACAGAGCCACAGAGAGCTGAGACCGTGCCTCTGATGTCTCTCAGCCATTTAGCACAGACTAAAGGTTTGGATGTGCGTGTGTCTTCATAACTTACTACATACCACGACTTGGAAAAAGAACATGAGACAAAAAGTATCTTCCTAGATCAAAAAGGACCAGAAAGATGGAGGAAGCGGGAGGGTAGTTTGTCATCTCATCATCTGAAGATTCCAGATGACTTAAAAAAAAAACAAACCCAACATTTTGGAAGAAACGCTGTTGATTCAGACATGAAGGAGCAGCATGCTTTTGGGAGAACTTACTACTCCCTCCGCATTGGGTGGACAAAGTATCTGTGTTCCCATTTGGGGGTGAAAAGGTGGGTGGAACTCTCAAATTCAACTGGAGGCTGGGCTCTCCCTGTCTTTGCCCTATTATAGAGTGGGCACTATAAGGGTGATGGTGACTGTCTATGCCAGACCCAACTCTTTCCTAGGATGTTCCCACCCCTTACCATCTAGACCTTTTCTAGTCTTGGGGATGGAGAAACTTCTGGTAAAACTGGTCCATTGGAAAACAGAATAGACAGAAAACAAAAGCTAGTGGCCGACCCAAGCCACTTCTGCTGAGACGACAGGAGAACTAACAAAAATGTGACCATAATCCCCTCAACTATGGACAGAAGTTCACTCCAGCCCCGGTCGATCAGGGGTTCACAGTGATGCCTGACAATTTGGATAAAGGCCCCCTGCAAGCTTAGGATGTCTCCAGATTTCCTGGTCTCTTAACAGGTGCCACATGGGTTTTGAATGTGGACCTGTGTGCCCAGCTGCAGAGAAATGAAGGAGGGACCTAGGCGAGGTTGGGGGTTAGTGAAAAGATCACCATGACAGGTCTAGGCCCCTGGAAATTCCCTTCTACCCAGAATGGGGCCTCAGGCCTCCCACTTCCCTGAAAACCCAGGAGGTTCTGTGCTCTCATGGGGGGGTACTTCCTCTTGTGGTTCTTGAGTTGGTACAGAGCCTGCAGGAGCCAGGATGCCCTAAGAACCCCGCACGGGACACACACCCTGAGGCCTTTCACCGGAGTGCTACAACCTTGAACCTAGAGTGATTCCATCAGCTGGGTCCCCAGAGACAGCTCTGCTCCAGGGCGTGACTCTCACCCCACTTCACCCTGCATGGAAGGAGCCAAGCAACTTTCTCCTCTAGGCTGGTGTCTCTTGGCTTGGTTCACAATGGGAGGTCTAGGGTGGGGCTAATAACTGGAGACACCCCCTGAGTGCGGTAGCTCTGACCTCTATTTGGCAGTCACTCGAAAGAGCAGGTGGGACCACTCCAAGGTAGCTCCTGAAGCGTCCCCTCCAGGACAGTGTGCTATTGGAGACCTCCTGGAATGTCCACTCAGTACTGGGCATCTGGACTGTGTTTAGGGAGCTAAGGGTGAGGAAGAGAAGAAAATGAGGAGAGGAGAAAGAGGAGAGGAGGAGGGAGAGGGAGAGGAGGAGAGAGAGGAAGTCCCTGGTGCCTGAGAGGCTGGGTCAGGAGCGCGTGGCCGCAGACGGTTGGGGGCGCGCCGGGCTGGGGCGCGGAGCCGCGGAAGGGGCGGTGCGTCGGGGTCCGCGTCGGGGTCGCGCGTCGGGCGCGCCGTGGCCCCGTCGGGGCGGCGGGAGCTGCGGAGCCGCCATGGCGGACCTGGAGGCCGTGCTGGCCGACGTCAGCTACCTGATGGCCATGGAGAAGAGCAAGGCGGCGCCGGCCGCGCGCGCCAGCAAGAAGGTCGTCCTGCCGGAGCCCAGGTACGGCTCCGGCCCTCTCCGCCCTATTCAAACCCCTTCGGTCCTTTCCCGCCCTCTCTGGTCCCTTCCCGACGCCCCCTGGTTCTCCCCCTCACCTCTCGCCTCCTCCAGTTCCCTCCAGTCCCCTCCTGTCCCCTCTGGTCCTCTCCCTCCTTCTCTGGTACCCCCCCTCACCCCGTCCCCTCCGCCCCGCTCGCTGTCCCGGGCTGGTTGCAGGGCTGTCTGTCAGCACCCCTGCCCCAGTCCTCTGCCCCCTGAAGTAGTAAGTAGACCCCGAGTTGTCAGTTCTGTCACCAGCGCCATCACCTGAACCACTTCTCTCAACTTGGACCCCTGGCGGCCTGCCCTTTCTGGAAAGGATGACAGGAGAGCCACTTGAGCCTAGCCTGGTCTTGCAAGACTGGCGGTTCCCTCTGCACTGGCTCAGGCTGGCCACTCGCTGCCAAGTTGCTCTGAATATCACTACTGATTATTACTGATTTTTCTGAGGTGTGATGGTTTCTCGGAGCTGTACTTGTCTCGGGGTGTTCCAGACGGTGTTCCAGAGTGGGACTGTGGGCTCACTTCCTAATTGGCCCCACTGCCAGTTGTTTAGCCGGTGTGGCTTCCCTGAGTTGAGGATGAAAATTGGTTCGGACTTTACAGCCACCCCTGAACCATGCAATTCTGTTAAGGATCGAAACCAAAGCTGTGCCCCCTTTCAAATGGTCAAGCGTGACACACCCATGTGGCGCCAGTGTTACTTACCTTTATGTGAGGGAAAACATATGCATTTACTCTTCCAGTTTTTTTGAGGTAGTAGGGATGGAACCCAGGGCTTTACACACTGCTAGGTAAACAGTCTGTCCACCCAGCAGCATGCACAGCCCTCAGAGAACCTTTCAATGCTGAGCGATGGTCAGATTATTTTTTTCCAAGCATGTTTGTGAGCCCCGTGATCCAGGGAGCATCAAATCCCTGTGCCGTGTTTGCTAGGAAGAGTCACACTGTACACACAGCTGCGCTGGCTGAGTATTTTTGGCTTGCCTTCCCTTCCCTTCCAAGCCTTGACCCCTCGCTGGTTTTTTTTGGGGGGTGGTGGTGGGGGGAGGTGTTGCTCCTGACAGAGTAAACCACTCATAGGGGAAGACTTGGGTGGACTGGACAGTGCACTTCCTCCTGGAGTTTAACCTATCTGAAGCTCACTGAAAACTGTACTTGATTGAAATCTTCAGTAAGTGGGAGGGACCAGACCCAGGACTCCCCAAGTCACAACCAAGCAAGCTTTGGGAGAAAACTTTCCCTATTGGGAGGGGTTGGGGGAACGCTTCATTTCATTCTCTCTTCCATTCTCTCTGCCCCTACCCTGTGAGGGGCAAGGAATCTTAACTATGTATGGTTTCTATATATAAAGCCAATAAATCACAACTCATGGGGAGTTTAATGGGGAAGGGAGTATATGAGATTACTAAAATTAGGAATGTCTGTCCGCTCATCTTCTTGTTTTTTTTTTTTTCTTGGTGTTTTTAACCTCGTTGGACTTCTCTATGCACGACTGCTCTTCGGCACACACCCCAGGGCCCTCACTTCTCTATACAATACCTACCGCCTCTGCTTTGACATGGTCTTTGGCGATACTTTGTTTCAAAGGAGCTGAGGTGTAGCTGAGTTTGTGAGTCCTGCCATCCGAAGGTTGAGAGATGTCTATGGGAGAATCAAGTTAGGTCAGAGTCCTTTGAGGACTGCCATTATGTTGCTGTTTTTCAGGTAGACTCTTGAATTAGACCATCTGTCTCCCCTCCAGGAGTCTAGTCTGTTGCCCGTTTGTCTCAGTGGCTTTAGCCCTCAAGCAATAACCAACAACTCTGCCACAGACCCTCCTGGTTCCTTGTGAGGATTTGGCTGTTGGAAGACATTGTTTGGAACTGTGTTTGTCCAAAGAGTAGAGTGCATTTGAACTTGTCCCTTGGTCTTTTGCTATTGATTTTTTATTTCTAGTTAATTATATGGTCACCTTCTGTATTCTCTGTACTTCTTTATCTCAGTGACTTTGCCTCTTCCCAGTCTTCAGCGGACAACAGCATCTCATTCATTACAATGAAACAGGTCTGTTGGGCCCAGCCTCCCTTCCTGGAACATCGAGCACAAGGGGAGACTTGGCCTCCCATGAGGAGGCAAGAAGCAAACGTTTTGTTATGTTGACACATTATTCAATTAACAGGCTGATGAGTGTAAATCCTCCGAAGGCAGACTAGTTGTTCAAATCACATCTCCGCTTTAGTTCACCCAAACATTTGTTGAGCTAATGGAGCTGATAATGGGGCCCCATTGGAGGTTGAGGCCGTGACCCTTGCAGCCCCATTAACCAGGGTGTTTATATACTGTGTCCGTTGTACGGCCTGGTGACCAGAGATGTTCCAATTGAATTGGGTCTAACTCATGGGTGAAGGCCCAGAGAGTCATTTTCTAAGTCCTGGCAAGGCTAAGACAGCTCTTCACACTGGGTCCATTTCTCTGATATGAATGTTACTGAGTTGCCCTGAAGCCACATGTGGCTGAAGGAAGCTGGGTAATGAGGCCATGTTTTCCCTGGAGAGACCCTTTCTGTTTAGTGGATGCTGACAATGTTGGGCTCTCCATTAGGAGGCGGCTCTTGCCAATCATTCAGACCAATAACTGGGGGAGCAGAAAGAACACAGCTTGGGCCATGGGCATGCCAAGGATGTATAGAAGTTAAAGGACAATTGTAGTCATCTGTCCACACTGCCCAGCTTGTCTGAGTCACACCTTGCTCATGCTGGGATTTCTCGTTCATGGATGGGACAGTTGACTCACACGCTTCTGGCTTTCTCCTGTCTGTATCTTCCATCTTGCTGTAACAGTAACACTGAAATTATAGATGTACCCTAACTTGTCCATCCTTATGTGGGCTCTGGGGATCAGGGCTCAGGTTCTCACACCCATGATTTACTTCCTAAGCCATCTTCCCTGCCCTGTTTATTGTTTCCGACCTTAAGTTGGTAGCCATTGTGGACCCATTTCTCAGAAGCTGGTATGGGGAAAGTTCTGATGCACTGCACAGCCTGTTCCTAGAGGCCTCTGATAGTGGAGACATGGTCAGTAGACCTGGGCAAGAGGCTTGTTTTTGAGCGTGGGTTCTCACTGTTCTCTTTAACCCCAGACGGGCATCATTTGCATTCTCTGGTTCTGTATTCGTAGAACATATTATGCTTGTGATACACTTTCTCATAACTTGTGAAGAGTTTTCCAGGCTTGGCAAGGTCTAAGTGGTAAGGCCATTCATGTCTCCTATGTGTCAGGCTGCCCCTGTGACCAACCTGGAAAGGGTGTGGCCCTTTCATGCTGTGGTCACTGGAGAGAGCCTTCCTCGTTCAACCTTCAGGATGTTCCCTGGCTTCGTTCTGTGCACACAGCCTAATGTGGAAGAATAGCGTAAGGGCTGAGAGGGATGGGAAGTAGCCAGGTGGTGGCTCTCCGCAAGCCTCCCATCCACAGTACCACAAACGAACCAATCTGAAGAGCCTGGGAGGAAGGTGTTTTGTTTCTGACAGGAGTCATTCTAAGAGGAGGGACGCAGACTGGAAAGGCAAATTTGTCCTGACATTTCCATTACTATCTCATTCCTGGTCAAAGTTAATTTGTGCCAGTGACCTGGAGAGGCAAGGGCTGCTTATGGCTGGGGGGTTCTTAGAAACAGATGTTCTGGAGTGGTCAATTTGGGACAAGGACCTACCCTGTGGAACACTGTAATTTGCTTTAAATCAGAGCCCTGTGCTTCTCTTTGAGGTACAGGCAGTCCCTGATCCGATGATCTGTTCTTAGAGACAGGCTTTTGAAGCACTTGCTCGGAACTCCCGTGAAGCTTTGCCAAACTCCCGTGAAGACAGGCATAAGACTCAGGGAGGGATGTCAAGTCTGAGGGAGACACAGTGAGAGTCTCTGCCAGCAGATGGGTGGATGGATGCCAAGGGGGAGAAGTGAGATTGGAAGCAATTGGGGATTTTTCTCCTGAGAATCCAGACCAAGGAAAGGTGTCTGCTACACCATGGCATAAGAACCAACATTATAGGGGCCATCTCCTCTGTCAGGTCTGGGTGCCATCATGTCTTGCCACCATAGCCACAGCAGGTGTGCACACCATTCTTGTTCTCAGAGGGATCCATGCTCAAGAGGACCAGGGAAGGGAAGGTGGGTAACCATACACAGGATTCAGGATGAGGGATGCAAGATGCAGGAAATGGAGCTAGGTTCCCCCTTTCTAACCACTGAACAGGTTAGCACTGTCCGCCACGGCTGGACAGAATAGCAAATCACCCCGCTTCTTACTTGGCAGGGAATGGATAAAACTTTCTGTTTTTAATTTTGTGTGTGTGGGGTGTCATGTTGGGAGACCCTGGTGTGGCTTTGGGATATCGGGAGTGTCCTCGGAGGCTTAGAGAGAGCAGCAACTCCTCTGGGGCCTCCGAGGAAGGTAATTATGATTAGGCGAGCCTGCAGGTGGTGCCGCGTTTCCCACGAGGAGCATGGGGTTCCATAACACGCAGAATCTTGATGGAGTGTTGGGGAGCTGTGGTCAAGATCCCCTCCTCTCTCCCCTCCTCCATTTCTAGGAAAAAAGGTTAAAGAGGGAAAGATAATGTATTTCGCTTTGTTAATAAAATCACGATTCTGAAGAACCTTTTCTTAGTACGGAAGAATAAGTTATGAAGACTACTCTTGGGGAATGGCGTATTGTGGGCATGGCTGTCTCGCTATCCCTCCTTCCCTCTGTGGACTCTGGCCATTAGAACAGAAGTGACAAACTCAGTGTGCTGGCTAGTTTTCTGTCACCTTGATACAAGCTAAAGTCCTCAGTGAGGAGGGAGCTTTTGAAAAAAAGCCTCCATAAGATGAGACTGTAGGCGACCCTGTGGGCAGTTTTCTTGATAAGTGATTGATGAGGGATAGTCCCGCCCATTGTGGGTGGAGCCAGCCCATTGTGGGTGGAGCCACTCCATTGT